AACAAAGCTGTAGCAGTGTGCTAGACCTCTGTATTTAATAATTTTCTGCGATTCCCTGAAAGAAGCAGCACCACCGCTTTCACGTGTGCTGTAGTGGAGGTAGGTACTGGCCAGTGTGGCAGCGCACGTGTAGTCCCATACCACTTGCTTACCATCCTTCCAAGGTAGCAAGGTGACCCCATCAGGGCGCTTCTGAGGGTCGTTAGGTCTGGATAAGTGTGGTTCTCTTTGTGCCGGGCAGCGGGCTGTGGCGAGGCTCCTCTTGATGATGTCGTTGACTTCTTCATGTCTTGCAATTTTACCCTGTGATTTACGACATACCAGACCATGACGACCATATTGGTCATATATATATATATATATATATATATATATATATATATATATATATATATATATATATATATATATATATATGCGAACAAGCCTGAATGGTCCCCAGGACAATATGCAACTGAAAACTCACACCCCAGAAGTGACTCGAACCCATACTCCCATATATATATATATATATATATATATATATATATATATATATATATATATATATATATATATATATATATATATATATATATATATATATATATAATATAATATCTATCTATGAGAAAACATGGAGGCTCTGTAGTGGGATAGATCTCGAGTCCATCATGGACTCTCTTAACAGATGCGTTTGACATACTTGCCTCTCGCGCTCCCTACTTGATAACACAGTGCCAGCCTTTCCCCCTCCAGTCAGTGGGCCAAGGTTGAGTTTATTCCAAACAATGCAGTGCGTGTCAACAGGCGCACCGGGATGGACTAAAATATTCTACTTGAGGAATATAATGTGGCTGAGGACACCTTTGCTCAGTTTCCCCTCGAGGTCACTCACTTTCTCACGTGTCTAAAGTTTCATTTCAACAAACATTTATAGACATTGCACACAGACATCACAATAGCGTGATGCATCAAGTGAACAAATCCACAAGGGCCGTGACGAGGGTTCGAACTTATGTTCGAGAGAAACCCTCATCACGGCCTTTGTAGATTTGTTTATTTATAGACGGTTGCAAAGTTTTAAAATTCTGTTTATCAATTGTGCTGCTGGTAGATATATGAATTTATTACAAAAATGCGCTTCATTATTTTCTCTCATGTGCCATACATGTTTCTATCTCTATGTGCTGAATGTCTAGAATTAATTTCGTAATTAAGTAATGTATGTATTACATGTTCTGCAATCATAATTGGGCTCAATGTCTTTCCTAACCATCTTAATGTATCATCTTCATATATTTGGTCACATTCACTATAATGTATGCAATCTGGTTCATTCGAAATCATGTTTCTCCTCAGTGTTTCACTCGTAAACATATATCCCATGATTATAGGTCAATTTTAGTACACTATCTGCTACAGTCTTACCAGAGAAACATTCTATTATACTGTAGTGTTCTAGTGTTCGTATATGTTTAAAATATCCCATGATTTCCTACCTTTCCCAATCAAATATGAACGGTTCATTAAAATAATAATACTTAAAGAATTTACTAAGCAAGAGAAACAGGGCACTGAAAGATCTAATGATAGTAGCATTAACGTGAGACGGGAGAGCATCCAGTTACAAAACGTGGGTACACGATACAGTAAATATTATTAATAAAATACCTTTGAAATTTCAAATACAGTCACTGAAAAAGTCGTGAGTGAAATACATCCAGACTTCGGTATTCAAGCACTGTGGGAATGGTTTCCAGCACACGTAATAATGAATGTTCAAGGAAATATGGACCAGGCTAATCATCATCTGATAAGTATCATTGCACAGATGAGTATTGAAACACACACACACACACACACACACACACACACACACACACACACACACACACACACACACACACACACACACACACACACACTACCTGATGGCTTCTCATATAGCACACAGGGGAACATTAGTAACAGAAGCTGTGGTTAAGTGAAGAGATTATATACAGTATATAATATATAGAGATAAACGGTATCTAGGGACTGTAAGACAGGTGCTCCTCTTTACAGGTATAAATAGTATGATGGAAAAAAGAAGTGTAGGTGTTCGGCAGTCCTCCCAATGGCTGGTGTCAATGCCTATCACATTTAAAAATTTAAACAACATTTAGACAACATTTAAACAATAGTCATTCAAAAAGCTCTAGAACACGGCATTACAAAACACTAACAGCATTTCGTTATGTTTACAGATTCAAGACAACATCCACATCATTAATGCAAACTTCAACTTGGTCAAACATATTTTAACTTTGCACACATATATGGGAATATCACAATATTATATTGCAGATGAAGCTGCAGTATAATCAAGATATGTGAAGACACAGTAGTCATCAGTATACCACAGAGTCAAGCATACATAGAGAAAGTTAGTGTGTATTAACTTTTTATTACTTCTGTTTCTGATTATCGTCTCAGATTGTAAGCTAAATGTCACTCATGTTATGCTCACAATCGAAGTTTGATTTAGACTCCTATACACGAGTTTAGTCCAGCCAGTATTGTAATGTAACTGTAAAAGTTATTATGGCTAAAGTTTGATTCTGATAATGACAGTGTCTACGTGCTCTGCTCTTATTGTTACATGTAATTAATATACTCTAAATTTACCGGTTTGTAAACTTTCCAATTATAAATGTACAGCATTTATGAATGAATCGTTTGATTTGATTATGTAAACAGTTCAGGAAATAGGGACCATAAGGCAGCAGTTGAGTTGTGAGGAGCTAAAGGTTGGTATAAGGAACTGATCAGTTATATCAACCATTATGTACCACTTGAGTTGAATGGACAAAATAAGTTATAAAAATGTACTACATAAGGCTTAGATACCCTTGTGTGTGTGTGTGTGTGTGTGTGTGTGTGTGTGTGTGTGTGTGTGTGTGTGGAAAATTGGCTTACAAGTTCCAGGAGAAAGGAATTATCAACATTGTTCAAAATTACCCAACAGGCCTCTGTAACGTAGCTACTACAACACAATGTTACAAAGCAAATTAGTGTACCCTCGTTGTTTGATAACTGAAGTTGCAGAAAACTCCACTGAAATTAACATGCAAGTAAAACGATGATTATCTACTTCCTGATGCTTACGTGAGAGTAACGCAGGGCTTTAACGCATCATGAGTAAGGCAGGGCTCATCACCGTGAGTAAGGCAGGGCTCATCACCGTGAGTAAGGCAGGGCTCATCACCATGAGTAAGGCAGGGCTCATCACCGTGAGTAAGGCAGGGCTCATCACCATGAGTAAGGCAGGGCTCATCACCGTGAGTAAGGCAGGGCTCATCACCATGAGTAAGGCAGGGCTCATCACCGTGAGTAAGGCAGGGCTCATCACCATGAGTAAGGCAGGGCTCATCACCGTGAGTAAGGCAGGGCTCATCACCATGAGTAAGGCAGGGCTCATCACCGTGAGTAAGGCAGGGCTCATCACCGTGAGTAAGGCAGGGCTCATCACCGTGAGTAAGGCAGGGGCTCATCACCGTGAGTAAGGCGGGGTTCGCCACCCATAATACGTCAAACAAAGGTTGCAGGCTCGGGCAAGCTTATGAACAAATACATATCATTATTAGAGGTAAAACTATAATCCTTCTACCAGTTAATATAAGAAATACAATTTCAGCAAAAGTATAATTCTTCAAGAGAGACTAAAATACGTTCTTGCCGGATATATCAGACTAAAATAAGCTTAATGCCTTTTACGGCATTTCTGCCTTATTATGAAACAAATGAAGCATTAACACTGTTGTGTTTCATTTCAATTAATTTGCTTAAGCAAAATACACGCCAGGAAATAATGATGCATATGATACGTAGATGTTTTAGATGAGGCAGTCTAGGCTTCTGAAATGCGTGTCGGATCACCCAGACTCTGGCAACTACAGCAGTCTGGGGTTTCCAGCACCTAACAGTCTGGTTGACTCGGTTACCAGTCAAGAAGCTGGGCCAGGGACCAACCGTGCTGCAGAGGGCGATTGAGCTCCTAGAATGGTTTTAGATGATACAAACATGGCTACTCCACTGTGTGTCATTGTCACCATTGGCTCCTGCAACCGGATATGTAATCTGCTATTTTTATTTTAATTTACTGACACATTGGGAAGTCTTTTTGTTCGTAGCGGATAAATATAAGTTTGTCCTAAAAAATATAAAACGAGTAATTTGTGTTTTATATAATTTTTTTTTACCTAAATATTTTTAAAGTATAATCAGTTATTTGTCAAAGTAAATGGAATTTTACTTGAGCATTGTCTCTTTTGTATTATCGGTGTATAGAGGGCTGGGAGCCGGGTTCATTAGTATAATTGGTAAAAAAAAAATATAGGCCAAGAAAAACACGATTTTAACGTTCTACGTTGCTTTATATTGCCCCAGTGTTGTGATGACTGCGATATCGTTCAACACACTGAAAATGCTCGTTCGTTGCTAGACGTGACCAGAAGTATAATCGTGTTTGAAACGCTATTAGACTGGCCAGACGAAAAAGTGGTAATGTGAGTATTATGAGAAGTGTTAAGGCGTGGGCGGTGGGTGTGAGGGCGGGCGGGGTTGCGGGTGGGACGAGGAGCATGTCCCATCAGCCCGGAGGTCAGTAGCAGTGTGCCGTCAGATGGGCGCACACGCAGGCGACAGCTGCTGTACCATAAAGCCCCCCGACCCTCACTGGCCTGCGCCACTCCTGCCCCCACAACTTCCCCCCCACCACCCACTTACCGTCGGCCAGAACTCTTCTTCCTCCTCCTCCACCAGCAGTAACAGATGCCAGTTACTGTTGTAAGTTGTGGGTGGTAGCTCACCTGACGCAGCGTGGAGCCTCCACCGCTGACTGAGGGACGTGTTCGCCGCCACACGCTGTCTGGCCCTCCCTCCCTCCCGCGCTGCTCGCCCCATTATCCCGTGAGGAAATCTGGCAGCAGCAGCGTGTGTTTGTGTGCGCTCCGGCTCGGCCGTCGCCTCGTGCCCACTCTCCCACGTGCTACTCCCGCGTGTTCCGAAACTAACGTGCATAGTGACTCGCTCGGCTCTGCAAGATGGCTTCCTTGAGCTACCTAAAGCTCGGTTTACTGTCACTAATCGTGTGAAATTGTTGTTTTTGAAACCCCGGTAGTTGTTGAAATAGCGGAACAGGTATCACCGACAAATCTCAGGTCTAGTGGAAGTGTTTTTAAAGTGTTCGTGAATTTAAAAACGTTTTTCTCTGAAGTGTTTTGAGACTTGTGGAGGGAGTGATGTGCAAAGTCTCGGTGTAAATGAACCCAAATATTGTTGTGTTTCCCAGTGAAGAATATTATTTGTGCGTACCGTGTGAAGTGTTGATAGTTTGAACACTCGTTAGACGATAGTTGTAATGTGACAGTAGCAAAGTGCGAGTCTAGGGTGAAGTGTATAGGTGAGGTTGGAACGTGGTTACATAATCGTGCACATGATGCTGGAGCCTGGGTTGAGCGATCACTCCTTCGCATCCCTGCTGGCTGAGCCCGCCGCCACGATGCCTGCAGGAGGCGGCACCGGGACCACCGCTAGGGCCGCCGCCAGGAAGAGTGGCGACTCGAGCCTCCCCAACGGCTGCGACGGGGGCGGCAGCAGATTTGTGTTGGCGGGCGGGCGGGAGGTTGGTGGTGGTGGGCGTGAGGCAAGTGGTGGTGGTGGTGGTGGGTCGGAGCAGCAGCAGCAACAGCAGGTGAGCGGGGCAGCCCCCCCTCCTCCTCTTCCCCCACTACTGCTCACCACTACCATCGGTGGGGGTAACAAGTGCGAGGTGTCCGCCCCTCCTTACTCCCTCCACCCTGGGCCCTACTCTCTCCCCTCCACCCCCAACATTTTTTCTACCTCAGTTTATACGCCGGGCGTCACCCCACACTCGCCGACTGAGCCCAGGGACGTCTTCCCTGCACCCTTCTCAGCCATCACCTTCCCCTTCCAGGTACACTCACACATTGTTATCACTTTCTTGTAGACATTATTGAATATGACACACAGGATAGCATCAATGATTCTTGCACAACTTTTCTATGTTTTTTTTTTTTATCTTATGAAGGAAGTTGAACGATTAACTCTCCAAAAGTTAATTTTACAATTTTATTAAGGCCTGACGCTAAGAACTGCGTTTCCTGGACCCTTGTCAATATTATCAATGATAGAGTTGGAATCGTTACAAGTTTTTCTGCTGCCGGGGATGGGGGTGAAGGGCAGGCCTTAATCAAATTGTAAACTGAACTTTGGAGAGTTAATTTTTCAACTTCTCATGTAAATGAAAATATGAAAAGATTCTTACTTGATTCATTGATCTCATCCTTTCCGCTTTATAATTTTCTCTTTATTATTTATTATATTATATATTAATGCCAACAGGTGTAAACATCATCCTTCTTGCACTACTTAGGTTTTGAATGCATATGTGACCTTGTAGAGTTATTACACTGTTGTTATTTGCATCGTGTTCTAGAAGTACTGTGGTGCACCCTTGCACAAACAGTTCTTAATTAAGTTCTCTCTCGTTATCGTCAATATTAAACAAAGGACTTGTAGGATCTTCTATTAGATAATGCTCTTATCTCTATTGATAGACGTTTCATTCTCCTTTTGTTAGCCAACAAGTGTGAATTTCAAGACAGAGGATACTGGATTACCTGAGCAGGAGAACAACATTGATAGAACCAGAGATGTGGTGACCGGATAGAAACCGCTGGGCAGAGATGTGATGACCTAGAACCCGCTGGTCAGAGAGTGATGGTGACCCGCGTCACTGTCTCGGTCCTCGCACGTGGCGGGGACCGAGAGGCCGGAAGTGACTAAGGCGGGTTACAGCTGTCACCCGCCTTTCTCGCGATTTTGTATTTGAGTTTGTTCTTGCTGTCGGTCCTGATCCAGAGCAGATAAAGGAATAGCAGCCGCAAGAGTTACTAACCTGGCGCTTACCTAGTTAATGGGGGGCTTGGGGGGGGGGCTTACTACCTATATATGGCTTTACTATATGTGGCTCATCACATATGATGACCAACCCACATACCAGAAGATGAGGAGACTACGGCGTTTCGGTTCGTCCTGGACCCTTATCAAGTCGGACCATGATCAACTCGATTGATCACATATCAGTTGATCAGGATCAACTCGATTGATCGCCACATATAAATTAACCGTGATCAACTCGATTGATCACCACACATATTTGTGCTCAATGGAATGTTTAGTCTCAGTTGAATATTAGGAGCCTTTGAGACTTTTCCCTCGTTGTAAACAACTTGGTCTCCTGGCTAGAATGGTGGTCGCGCTTTGTCATGCTCGGCTATCAGAATGATTTAGAAATCTGTGAACATGTATTTTGACAAAATTCATGTTCAAATTAGCGTTTTGTAAGGCGTGGCCGGTGGGTGTGTGTTGCATTGAGGGGAACTGGTCTTATTCAGTGGCCTGGGGCGAGGAATTAATCATAAGACAAATGGTCTGGATTACAGAGGGAATTATCATTAGAAAGCGCGAAGCCATTACGACTATATAGCACTGGGAAGGGGGGTCAGGATAAGGATTTAGGATGGGACGGGGGGAAAGGAATGGTGCCCAACCACTTGGACGGTCGGGGATTGAACGCCAACCTGCATGCCCTCAATGTTTCCTAACTACACTTAAGAATAAACCCATATAGGTAAGGAATCAATTTATTTTGACCTAAAACCAGAGATAGTAGTATTTTTTTTCCTTGAAAGCCTTGACACATTCAGGATGTGAGAGAAATGAGTCTGAATGTTTATGACTTAGACTTAAAGAATTACAGATGAAGTGGGAAGGAGGCTTTTAAATTTCTTAACAAACATTGGCAGTAAATATAACAAAATCCACATTGAATACGGCACGAAGATCCGTCCCTTAAGGTACATTACCTAAAACAAAGGGTGAAAGAAACTGCCCAATGCTCCTGTTACCTAGCAGTAAATAGGTACCTGGGTGTTAGTCAGCTGTCACGGGCTGCTTCCTGGGGGTGGAGGCCTGCTTGAGGACCGGGCCGCGGGGACACTAAAAGCCCCGAAATCATCTCAAGATAACATCCCTCTCACCATTACTCGTGCACTTTCAATCAGATATCAGCAAAGTTTTCCATTGAGCAACAGAAAACAAAATGGCTTTCAACGCGTGATCAGTTCCAATTACTCCGGTAAAGGGGAAACAAAAACTTCCAAAGTACATAATACAAGGCAGTCAAATCCCCTCTCGTGGAAATAAGCGACTGAGTCCAAAACTGCAAATAATAACGTAAGAAGACCTCACATTTTGAAAAGCACAATAAAAGAAACAGCAAGAGAGAGAGAGAGAAAAATGATAGGGTAGATAATGAGAACGTTCGGAACCGGGTATCCCATACCATTAATGGTACTGTTCAATGTACTGGTGCTATCTCATATGGTGTATTGTTCGGTCGTCGCCTTCCCTTTTAAGGCTGACTAGATTGCCGAGCTGGAAAAAGGTACAGAGCTCCTCTGCTGCTCACATATAATCAGTGGAACATTAAACTACTGGAACACCTAAAACCTCTTAAATTATACTCCTCGGAACGAAGACTAAAGATGTATCTCATAACACACACGTGGCAGATACTGGAAGGCCACGTTCCAAACCTGCAGAGGGGAGGGAATTATCAGGGGAAAAAGCGCCAAAGCATTATGACTATAACACATGGAAGGGATCAGGAGGTAAGGGAATGGTGTCACACCAATTGGACGGTTGGGGATTGAAGGCCGACCTGCATAAAGCGAGACAGCCGCTCTACCGTCCAGCCCAAGTGGTTAAATGAAATTACAGTATCCTGGGGGTGAGATGTGGTAGGCAGTGTAGAATACATACAAGGAAATGTCGGGTGTCATAAGAACAGTTAACGACTTGTCAGTCTCTTGCCAACACACATAAGAAATGGTCGCGGGAACAACAGTGGAAGCTTGCAAGAGGGATGTTGACCAGACCACACCACACACTAGAAAGTGAAGGGAGGACGACGTTTCGGTCCGTCCTGGACCATTCTCAAGTCGATTGACTTGACCATTTTCACAATCGACTTGAGAATGGTCCAGGACGGACCGAAATGTCGTCCCTTCACCTTCTAGTGTGTGGTCTGGTCAACATACTTTAGCCACGTTATTGGGACTCCTCGCCTGCACTTGCAAGAGGGAACTTGTCAAGCTGGAGTTACCTGATCAGCTTGGGAGTGGCGGCCACATGCACCAAGGAAGGCTGGTTTGTTCTTAAGTTATTTCAGTTTACAATTGCCGGTAATACTAAGGATGAGGTAACGAGAGGATGGTCATTCATATTGGCTTTCTTTTCTTTACTAATAGATGTAACTAGCAACACCACCGTAACATCCTCTCTCAAACATAAGCACCAGACCACCATTCAGGAGGCCTGGTCTCAGAGACCGAGCCGCGGGGAAGTTGATACCCGGAACCACCACTAGGTAACCAAGTTGTACCACCACTGACAAATGTGTAGCATTAACACAGTATCCAATTAATACCCATTGTTCTGTGTTCTGTCTTGTGTTGGTCAAAATATTCACCTCATCCAAAACTGTTGCAACATATTACCTCACCCAAATGCGAGTATATAGTGTGAACGTAACTTATATATAATGGGGAGGACTCAGAAACACGACAAAAGTCAGCACAAAATATACTCACTCTCTTGACTTAAGGTACACATATAATTACAACGAGAATAACAAATGTTTTCTCTATAGCACTTTTGTACTCAAGAAAGCCATCCTCATATTCGTAGTATACACATATGTACATATTGAAATGTCCGTTTCGAGACTAAACCATTTAGTAGGCAGGCAAATTGAATCATAATGCAGACTACATTATAATTGATACATCAATAATATTGTGGTGTTGTTGTTTTAAGATTCGCTACCTGGAACAAAAAGTTCCAAGTAGCACGGGCTATGGTGAGCCCGTAGTGGAGGTTTAAGTAACAACGAGCAAAGTTAGGTCTTCAGATCCTGGTATCGTCTGAACACGTTTGAGATACAGGACATGATGACTGGCATCCTAAGAGTATAACTGAGACAGATCACGTCAAAGTTGGTATCTTTGGATTGTAATGAAAACAATTCACATGAAACGTGGCATCTGCAAAAGGCTGTGATGCTCAGTATCCCAAGTTCATGATAAATGCAGCACCCAATGTAGACTAAGTTCTCTACGAGCGAGCCAACCTCCATCCTATTTGTCTACATCTCTCTACCTATCTACCTTCCTACATAATTTACTAGCTGCCTATCTACCTACCTCTCTTATCCTTTTCTTCCATCCTTGCCCCCCCCCCCTTCCCCAGTCCTCCATCCTTCTCTCTCTCTCTCTCTCTCTCTCTCTCTCTCTCTCTCTCTCTCTCTCTCTCTCTCTCTCTCTCTCTCTTTTCCGACTATCTCCCCCAATCCTCACTCTAATTCCTCCCTTCCTTCCCGGCCTATCTTACCCACTCCCTCCACCCTCCTGTCAAATAGTTCCCAACATACACATTTGCAAATAATAATTCCGTGTTGCTGGAACACAAAAGTAATTATTTTTGTGGGGCATAAATTCCTTAACATAATATTCCTTAACATAATTAAGGAATACTGTCGGGGAGCAGTCAACTAGCGACTCCAAATTCCCCCAGTAGCCTATAAACATATAACATTGGTAAAGCCATTGGCTTTCTTAAATATGGGTTTGACTTAATATCCAGGTATTTTTTCGTCAGGTAACTAGTGCAGTCTTTGTGTTCCGCGCTGAGCGTATTTCGTAAAGCTATCATTGTGAAGCTAATGATAGCTTTACAGGGTCGGTTTCTGAATCTTGAAACTTTATATTTCACTGCAAACAAATGAGAATTCATGTTCTCAGTTTATACATAAGAAATTGGAATTCTTAAACGGACAAAGAATAATAGTTT